ATTTATTATTTTTAATTAATATTAATTGATATTTTATATATTTTTATTAATTTTAATTTATTTTTTTATATTCTTGGATAATAAAAGTCAAGAAAAAGGGAAAAAGCTATGTATACTACAACATAACACAGTAGTGACAATTGAAGCGTATAATTGGGAAGTGACGATTTTGTAAACTATAATTTGTGCAGGTCTTGTTCATAAAAATAATAATAATAATAATGTGAGTCCTGTAATCCGCTAATACATACCCCTTTTGCTCAACAAATGTTAGTCTTTTGTTTAACAACATTAGCTCTAATTTATCTCCTTTTTTTTTTTTTAAGATAAAAAAATTACGTAAAATTTAACATAAAAAATAAATATCAATTAAGAATTTCATTTTCCTATCTATAATTTTTGTTTGGTAGTTTTACTTGATTAAAAAAGTTTTTAATTTTCATTTATATGTTATGTTAAATTTTTACTTAAATTTTTTGTTAAAAAATAGAAAAGAAGAAGCTAGAATTACTATTTTTTATTAATAAAAATAAAAAACTTATTCAATATAAATATAGTATTCAACCCAAACACAACCAAACTAACAACAAGCAATTAACTAATAAATTTAATAACCTATTCTTTTAAGATAAATTAAAAACACAAAGTTACGCAATAGCTGCTTAGGAAACCCACCTATTTCAACAAAGAGTTCAAAACAAACATGCTCACAGCCATGGGCGGAGCCATGTGTAGACCATGGGGTGGTGGCCCCCCATACACTTTTGGAAAAAATTCAATCCCAAATCTTTGAAAATTTTATATAAAAATTCTATTATTAGTCATTAATCTTTTAAATATAGGACTTCTGTCTTCAAAATCTTTATTTTGTTTCAGCTAATATTTCTAACTTTTATGATAATAATCATATAATTATTTTTTTAAAAAATCATAATTGTTTGTTGCATTAGTTTCAATGGCAAAATTTAAACTCAATATTGGGATGGCAATTAGTGAGTTTATTAAATATATAAAAAATTCTAAATTTTTTACAAAAAAAATTGAAAAAAAAATATAAATTTCTAAGATATCTCTTCCTTTCTCTCTTCCTCATCCCCTGTCTGCTTGAAAACCCTAAATTATTTTTTTTATGATGCTTAAAGTCACTTTAAAATATTCAATTGTGTGCATTATTTAGTTCTTGTTTCCATCAAGTTAATAATGAAAACTTTACTCCTAACACAAAACAAACTATTGAGTAATTATACTTAATTTTTTATCTTTTTATCATTGATGTGATTTACTATTACAAAAATATTAAATTTTTTAATTTTTTAATTGATTTTTTAAAGTTTTTTTTTTCACAAAAATAACTAAAAAAATTCACTAATTACCAAAAAAGACCTTTATAGATTTTGTTTTGGTCCTTCCTAAACACTATTAGAGCTT